AATTAATTTACACATAAATATCGGATAGAGACAAGCAGTATATCCCTCATGTCCACTTTGTCTAATGTTTTTAATTCATTTACGTTTATATGAATATGTTTTCATGTAAAACGTATACTTTATATATATATCAGCCTCTAACTCGGATAAATTTACCAAAAACAATCTACTAAAATCGTATTATAATAAATAATGCGCATGTCAGTACTATACTATTTAGTCCAGCGTGCATATACGTGTCTACTGTATCTTCTAAACAAGAAGACATAAGACTATCAAACTTGGATATACAACCTGTAAACTCTATAGCATACAGAAGGTTTGGGTTAGTCAAAGTGTATAAAACATGCATTACAGCAAACAGTACGTTTACAGCGAAGAACAATTAAAAGAAAGAATGTTAGATGCCTAATATAGGTTTAGCATACAGCAAAATGTAATCGATGTTACCTAGTTCCCGTTCACAGATAAATATAATTATTTGCTCAAGCTGGGTTCGAACTCGATTTTATAAACACTACTTTTTAAGAGATATTTCAAGATTTTTATCCTGGTGACCTGGATGTACTACCATGTGTGTCTAGGAATGGTTCGTGGTAACCTGGATATACTACCATGTGTGTCTGGGAATGGTTCCTGGTAACCTGGATATACTACCATGTGTGTCTGGGAATGGTTCCTGGTAACCTGATATATACCATGGGTGTCTGGGAATGGTTCCTGATAACCTGGATATACTACCATGTGTTTCTGGGAATGGTTCCTGGTAACCTGGAATATACTACCATGTGTGTCTGAGGAATGGTTCCTGGTAACCTGGATATACTACCATGGGTGTCTGGGAATGGTTCCTGGTAACCTGGATATATTACCATGGGTGTCTGAGAATGGTTCCTGGTAACCTGGATATATTACCATGGGTGTCTGGGAATGGTTCCTGGTAACCGGGATATATTACCATGGGTGTCTGGGAATGATTTTACTTGCAAATATTCAAACGAATTTACTTTTCCTACTGTCATAAGATCTTAACCTATGTTTCCACCACGTACATTTTAGGCTTAAGAAGTTAGATTTCTACTTGCCCAAGTGATGAAGTCACCAACAGAGATACAATTTAATTATAATTCTCCTTCTACACTTGCGAATCATGTTGCTATCACGCAAAAACAGAAACTGTTAAAACAGTTAACTTCGCTCTGAAAAATTACACATAGTACGTTTTTCTGCAACTTACAGCTAAGCTATAAGAAATAAACTTAGTATTCCGCAAATTGTTTAATTTCGAAGTCTAAGTTCAAGGGAGGTCCAATTCATTCTACACTTTCATCAACATGTGTTATTGGGTTATGTTAGTTTCGGAGAATTCCACTCTTCATCAGTAACCCTAAACACAAGTTAACCAAATAGAGATGAGCTGGACCAATATCATAGTGAAAACTATTAAATAATACAGCAAAAATAATTTGAATATTTTGGGCAACCCACCTTAAGACTAAAACTTTAACTTCTTGTAATATACGGACACGAGGTCTTACGTAAATTTAATACTATCACCAACATATGACCAAAATTCATGTACTATTAGGGTAGTGGATATTCCCAGAGCCACTAATCAAATGTATAGAATTCTTACATTTACAGTATGCTCATGCTTCATTTAGTGCGCATGTACAACATTTGTAAAGCACTAAGTAGAATTTTGTGAAAGTAAAAACATAAAGAAACACCAACATTCTGACAAACACGTAACGATTATATTATATATAATTTAGTTTTTTCAGGTACATTGTGCTACCGTATATTAAAAGTAAAAAACAAAGTAAATTCACTGTTGACAGAATATCATCACTCAAATGTGTTTTTCATGCAAATGTACCTTGTCTTGAAATTACATATTCATAACCGTATTAATTATGAATGTTTACACGTACACTTTTCACGGATTTCAAAATCCACACCAATGTGTATCTACAGTGAGTTTACAAGTTTATTTTTCACAGATTTCCAAATCCACACCAATGTGTATGTAACAGTAACAACACGGGCCAACGTTTAATCATTTACAAACAGTTCAATTTCTAAAGTATTTAACTGAAACTAGGACACAAACTTTTCTAAGTGATTGATATGTAAACGACATATCTAAATATAAACCAAGTAGAATAATTTATAGTTTAAAATCAGCCAATCAGAAATCATACAATTTTCTGTCTTAGAGCATATATAGACATCAGTACCTTAAATTTAAAGATATCTCCTAACGTCAATTTTTTAATATAAATTATCTCGTCGTATCGAATAACTAATTTGAAGTCTATTTTACCTAACGCGTTATAGCTACCAAGAGCGATATAAGCAGCATTATATATTACGAATATTTCTAAAAAGCAATTTTTGTAGTATTATGTTTTCATTTTTAGTAGGATGAACTTAAAAGTTACTTCAAAAACTATTTTCAAGTAAATTTTGCAAAACACAATAAAACTAACTAGATCGAAGAAATCTTTAGATTTTATAATAGACGTTAGAAAGCATACAGATAAACAGCTGGATCGTCCACTTTTTTATTTTTGTAACACCTTAAATAAAAGACCCATTATGGCCCGGCATGGCCAGGTGGTTAGGGCGCTCGACTCGCAATCTGAGGGTCGCGGGTTCCAATTCCCGTCACACCAAACATGCTCGCCCCTTCAGCCGTGGGGGCGTTATAATGTGCGGTTAATCCCACTATTCGTTGGTAAAAGAGTAGTCCAAGAGTTGGCGGGGGGTGGTGATGACTAGCTGCCTTCCCTCTAGTCTTACACTGCTAAATTAGGGACGGCTAGCGCAGATAGCCCTCGTGTAGCTTAGCGCGAAATTTAAAACAAACAAAGACCCAAACAGGTTGGTCCTCTGACGCTAACACAATAACCTAGTAAAAAGTAAACCAAAAAAGTAAACTACATGGATAAATTGAAGTAGTATAAGGTATTGTACATTCTAGCACAACCTTTGTATTTAAGTGGATAAATTTCTAGTACAACCTTTGTATTTAAGTAGATAAATTTCTAGTACAACCTTTGTATTTAAGTAGATAAGTTTCTAGTACAACCTTTGTATTTAAGTAGATAAGTTTCTAGTACAACCTTTGTATTTAAGTAGATAAGTTTCTAGTACAACCTTTGTATTTAAGTAGATAAGTTTCTAGTACAACCTTTGTATTTAAGTAGATAAGTTTCTAGTACAACCTTTGTATTTAAGTAGATACGTTTCTAGTATGACCTTTGTATTTAAGTAGATAAGTTTCTAGTACAACCTTTGTATTTAAGTAGATAAGTTTCTAGTATGACCTTTGTATTTAAGTAGATAGTTTCTAGTACAACCTTTGTATTTAAGTAGATAAGTTTCTAGTACAACCTTTGTATTTAAGTAGATAAGTTTCTAGTACAACCTTTGTATTTAAGTAGATAAGTTTCTAGTATGACCTTTGTATTTAAGTAGATAAGTTCCTAGTACAACCTTTGTATTTAAATAGATAAGTTTCTAGTATGACCTTTGTATTTAAAAGTACTTTATATTCCTTCAAAAAAAAAAAACGTAAATTTCCTCTTTAGTACCCAATAAAGATAATTTAATTCATTTATTAAAATCCAAATGAACTTAATGCATTATTCTTTAATAATGAAATTGTTTTATTATTATTGTGTTCTACTGTCAGTTACTATAAAAAACTTGTATTTTTAAAGATGCCTAATGTGATATTAGTTATTCGAATGGTGCGGTAATTTTTATATTATAATCCCTAGCGGCAACAGCGTTACTGTATTCCTTGAGATATGTGGATGCTTCTAAAATCCAACTTTTCAGATTATTTTAAGATAAAGATTTGTGTGTTTGTTGTTAACTACAAACGTACACATTGGGCTATACGTGCTCTGCCCACCGCGAGCATCGAAGCCCGATGTTTAACGCTGCAAACCCCGAGACTTGCTGCTGAGCCACCGAGGGGTTGGTGCCAAGATTAAAACTGAAAGTAGATTAATATCAAGGTCAAAGAAAAATGTTGGGGTGTCTAGGTGTTTACCCAGCGATTACTTATTACATAATAGTATACAACCTACTATATTTTTCTATACTGGAATAAATTAATAAAATTCCAGTGATCGTATAGGTTTTAGATGGTGGCGTATGCTTAAAACAAAATAATAAGCGAATTGTATAAGACAGGCGGAGATCTTACCTGTAAACTAGTGGGAAACTTGAGATGGGCTGGGAAAAAAGTCGGCCTCCCAAGGAAATGGTCACTGTGACTAGCCATGCTTCGCATCGGAGTAACTTGAGCCAAAGTTCGTTGTGCTTTGTTAGACATTGACAAGTCAAAGCAGTGCAACTATAAAGCCAAAATCCGGAAAGAATCAGATGTACAATCTTATGTGACGACTTGGTTGAATCACGAATCTAGTTAACATTATGCATGCCTGATCAAATAATTATAGGTGATATGTTCCGGTCTAACGTTAGTTACGCCCTCTTAGTTGCTGTGTCCTCCTTAACCAAGCGTTAAACATGCAAGAAGAAAAAAACCTGTAGTTATCCGAGGTCGTAAGCTGTCAACAATGGACCAGACACCGAAAACAATATACCTGTTCTAGTTTCTAATAAAAATATAGGCAAGAACAACGAGATCCAAGTCAATAACACTCCACAACATCGACAGGATTGAATGTCACCGGCGGTTTGTCGCTAGACACCTTTCAAGCAGCAAAAGCTGACAACACTAATTACTTGTGCAACAAACTCAACATAGGATACTAACTCACGCGCGCGCCTTCAACGGATTTCCACAATAAATTCGGTGAAGAGTAAACGATCATTGATGTCACCCACCCTGTGTGCTGATTGTTCATTGGCTAGTCACAAATCGAGGGTTTTTAATGGTACTAACTCCCATGAAGTTCGGAGTATTCTGAAGTACAAAATATTACCACGTAAGATACTAAAATAACAAGGCGGCTTCTATCTGATCAAGGCTCAAGGTTAAAATAAAATATCAAACTTAACATTTTCTGTCGTCAAACCATCCTGCCAATAACACAACAGCGAAGGTTTACACAGTTGCTTATCTTACTGTACTGTCTGTATGGGTTGGGCTAAAACGTGTTTTTGAACTCCCATTGGTTAAGACAGACGCGTGTACGTATTCCGTCACACGTTTGTAAACAAGCTAGACTTTTCTCACTTACCGTAACCTCGGTTGTTTGCTTCCGGCCGTCTTGAGTTGGCTGTTGGTTAGGTTTTGTCGTTGCTTCTTCCATCACCAATTTGAAGAATATCATCAATAAAATCACACCTTAAACTTTCTTCTTCTCTGAATTGTCACACACCGTAAAACGTATTTACGATCAATAAATTACAGCGAAGATTTTTCTTCGATTTAATACACAACTTTATCAACTACGTACAGAACACACTGCTGAACAGGCAGAAAAATTGGAATTATGGGTATTAGCGGGTAGCTTTGAGTTATGACGTGCAACGCCATCTGTTAGTTTATAAGATGGTAAATGAGAATGAAAAGCCAACAACTATATATGTTTTTTCAGGAGTTCTCTTTGTCAACTTTTTTTTTTCATATTTTTATCTTCTTGTTAAGGTTAAGAGAAAATATCTGTTTTTCTTTTCCCGGAAGGACGGTTTATTTTAATACTTCAATAATACTAACTAACATACCGTCACTTTATTTTGTTCTCATTTGTTTATTCACACGAGGCGAGTGAAATACTTTTTTATGTGGGAGTAGTATCATGTTCAACAATAATAGCGCAACAGTTCACAGTGTTAGTCAGCGTCTACTCAAAGCACCTCCAATCAAACTGTTTTCTCTGATATAGTTTATTTACTAACAAATAAAAATGTTCAGTGTCTTCTATCTACCATTCATCCACCTATTCAACCATTTTTCTATCATATACATTATAGCATACGTGACTCTAATGTATAAAGGGGAGGGGGGGAGCCTCACAGTTAGTTAAAACGAATCTGATTTCCACATCGAGCCTAGACTTGTTATAAATTGATATGCAAAAGCTGTTAATCTGAAGCTCTCATTAGCGACTTTCACACAACCATTAATGATGAGTCTTGGCCGGAAACTTTGCGGAAATTACAATGATTTTTTAATTAATTTTATCCGCCGTATCTATTACTTTTCTATAGATGTCTATATATATCTATAAGAAACTATACTTCCTTTCTCTTGTTTTACTGAAACGTTCCTGAATGAAACTTGAACAACAACAAATAACAACAGATGGTAAAAAGTGGATAAGTTCTTGTCGACTCCGTTTACTTTCTTTTCTGAGAATGTAATCCTCTTGGTTAGAAAGTGAGCTTGAATAATAAACATATAGATAAGCTCGCCTTTTAAATCAAACTTCTATTCAAGCTATATTATAGGATCGTATACAAGTAAAACTTACTACCTTGAAAGGGAGCCAAAGGCCGCCTGGTGGGGTCGCATGTTTTAACCAGTCGCACCACTATACAGAGTGCTATATCTGTCAGTCAGTCAGTCAGTAGACACGAAAATGACGTAATATAAGGGACCCTTAACGTTGCAATCTGTACAATCGTGACGTCAGTAAAACGTGCTCATGCCATGAATCACGATAAACATTATGCACTCTCTAGGCTACAACACAGCATGATATATGAACTTGAAAAGCAAGAAATAAAAATATTCGTTACTCTTAATTTACTTTTGAAACAGAACAGTTTCGGGGACCTTGTGCTAGTACATCTAGTTGGTATAAAATTAACATGCAAGCTGAGCACAATTCGCTCTTTTATGTAACTGAAACGAGAGAGATGATGAGTTCATTTGTTTAGAACACTTGTCTGGTCATCGCTAGTAGTCGTTCAGTTGTACATTGCGAACATTCGGAAATAATTTTTAACTTAAAGAACCAAGTTACACTTAGTTGACGTCGGGTCATACAGTTACGACAAATACAGGTTAGTTTTGAGCCATCCTGCATACTTACTTTCTTATATTGACCAAGTGATTTAAAATTTTTTTGGAAAATACGAATTGTATTTGAAACGATTTCCTTATTCGACGTTCTATTATAGCCAACGACACATCGTGAATACACACACACACACATATATATAAAGAGTAGCGAACTTTGAATCTAATTTTCTAAAAAGACCACCAAACAAAAGTACTTATTTCTGCAACTTTTATACCAAGGAATGAGATATCGCTATTAAACAGTTAGTTATATCTTGCTTTGATTTCAGACAAGATCTAAGTTTTTCAATTGTTTTCTAATGGTGTTTTTTAAGGGTGTAGATGGATCTTCACCAAAACTGGTACATGGGGAGATACATACAGATTTTTAGTTTCGCATTTTGCGGTTTTATGGGTATTTTTGCATTTTTTACCACTATTTCTTCTCCTGTGGATGGATCTTCACCAAATACGGTTTGGAAGTTCATTGGGTCCATGGGGAGATACATAAAAATTTTCAATTTTGCATTTTGCGTTTTGCCTTTTTTCTTTTTCTTTTTTTTTACAACTACATATAAGGGAAGCAACTTTTCATGTCCTAAGATAACTTTTCATTAATCATGTATTTACATAACTTCCGTTCAGGGGACGAGTACTCCAGCTAATATAAAATAACCCACTTCTCAAACCATCACATATTTTAAGTTTATATGTAAGTGAATGAACATATATGATCGTACAAGCAAGCTGTATGGTTCCACTCATCGCTAGGAGATTGATCCAATCTAGTGTCAATGAAGCTTTAGGTTTAAAGAAAGTTTCTTCATTTAAAAAGTAAATGTTTAATTTCATCTAAACTTTTAACACTCATTACTGTCTTCTCAACTGTATGCACGCTACACCGCTCACTTAGCAAGGTTTCTTCGCAACTAATGGTTTTCTCGTGATGTGGTAATTACATCCAGCAGGTTTCCCAATATTAAATTCATAATTAGTGTTAATTAATTTTAATTACGCTTCATCAACATTATGTATATATCTGTATAATGTAATCAACCAGTCTTCGTCGCTGCACATACACGTTAGCAAGTTGTGTATATGTTTGTGTGTTTTTCCCTTTCACAATTAACTAAAGATACAGAACCACATGAACTGAACACCTTTAACATGTGCGTCATTCTGTTCATCGACATTCTAAACGTACAGGGCTATGTCTACCTAATTTACAAAACCCTATATTCAAGTACAGAAACTAATTAAAGACATGATAAAACTAAAATTATCAGTCCTGTGGTGCGTCTGGCAGAAACTGACACAAAGTTCACTTAAGTTAAATGCTTTCAATAAATATACCTTAAGCCTAAACCCGTGTAAATATGTCATTATTACTAATAGTTTTAGTCAGTGTTGTCACAAACACAGGGTGAGTATTTCACCTCAAAAGTTTGCATTAGTTATATACACAGCTGTTACACCTGACCTACCGAAACAGTCATTACCCAATATATATACGACATCTTATTTGTGTTCTAGAATTACAAGAGAGACGCTTTTTTGCATTCAGTTACGCCTATAGGTTTGATATAAATTTTATATCGATCCCAACATAAACCACGAAAGGAAACTTGCAGTTTCTCCCAAAATTATTGCAAGTAACTGGAAATGTTGCAGAAAGTACTGACAAAATATATTTGTATTCATACTGTTAAAAATAAATAAAATATTGAAGTGATTATAACATCAAATTTGAATAAAGTTTATCAAATCGAAAGACTCGATTTCAAAAGACGCAAGCGATCTTAAACTAGTCAAAATATACTTTTTTACCAGTTTCATTTCCTTGACATGTTATATAAATAACACTGTTATGCACCATTTCCAGCATTTCTCAGACCTATTCCAAACACTTTCAGTAACTTTATTGGGAATTTCTGAAATTCCAAGAACCATAAGCTGTAACAAATGTTTTTAACTTCATGCTACTTTCTACTATTCGTCACCTGGTAGAACAACTCTAAGTTTACGGACTTACAAAACTAAAATTCGTGGTTCAATTCCCCGCTCTAAAACAAACAAATATTCCCCTGGTGGGACATCTGTAAAATCAGCGGTTGGATACAGCAGATAGCCCGGTGTGGCTTTGCTATAACAATAACACACACACACAGTAATGAAAAATATAATTAGATAATTTTGTGTCGCATATTAATTCCATGAAAGTAAAGAAAGGAGTCTGTAAAACCAAAAACCGAAATCTAGTTTAAATATATATATATCGTAAAACCAAAAACCGAAATCTAGTTGAAATATATATATATATATATCGTAAAACCAAAAACCGAAATCTAGTTGAAATATATATATATATATATCGTAAAACCAAAAACCGAAATCTAGTTGAAATATATATATATATATATCGTAAAACCAA